ATCTGGCTGCAGAGACAGAAGTTGGAAGTTTGATTCCCGGCTGTGAATCCCAGAAGGGCCAACCTGTGTAACCTTGCGCAAGCTGCACAGGCCCAGGAAGCCTGCAGAAGACAGAAATGGTAAACCACTTCTGTGTATTATCTACTAAGAAAATCCTGAAAAGAGTTGCCATAAGTCAGAATTGACTTATAATTATTATTAGTCAAAAAAGGACTGAATGTTATGGCACATTATTATTATTAGTCTTTAAAGTTCCACAATGCTCTGTCCTAGAAGAAGTAAAATCACAGCTCAGTATGCGTACCTGGAAATGGTGGTGGTGGTGGTGGTGGTGGTACTACTACTACTACTACTACTACTACTACTACTACTAGTAGTAGTAGTAGTAGTAGCAGCAGCAGCAGCAGCAGCAGCAGCAGCTGTTGTTGTTGTTGTTGTTGTTGTTGTTGTTGTTGTTGTTGTTGTTGTTGTCAGAATTGACCACTAGAGTGAACTGGAAAATATTTCCATGCATCTTTCCAGAGATACTAAAGAAATTAAAAGTGGAAGATTTTGGACTGATAATTTAACCAAGGCATACAGATTTTCATGCGAGGTCTACAGGAAAAACAAGAGCTTCTAATATTATATATTAAAATGAACCAATTGTATTTCTCACTACATTGCATCAGGCAGGTTATTGTTCCTCTAGGTAAAAATAATAACAATCCAGTAAAAACAATCCATGGTATTCTGTGTAATCTGATTGTATTGTCCATACCATAAATAAATACCAGCATTCTGGAAAGATGTTGGTATTACATGCCGTCAAGTCACCTCTGACTTATGGCAACCCTATGAATAAGACTTCTCCAAAATATCCTGCCCTCAACAAATATCCTGCTCACCTCTTGTGAACTCTTCTTGCTTCCATTGGGGGGGGGGTGTCATCCATCTCATTTTTTATTTTCTTCTTTTCCTGCTGACTTCAAACTTTCCTAGCATTATTGCTAAAGTCCTGGAGGCCCCAATTTCTTACTCAGTTGAACGGGAATGGTTCCTCTTCGCTTCAGGCAGAGACTGTTTCTTAAGACCCTTTAAACTGGAGGTCCAAGGTGTTGATTGTAGGGCACTGTGCATAAAAAAGACGTGCTATACCATGATAAGCATTTTACCTTCCAACAATATAGAACTGCTCAACCATTAAAAGCACATATTTTGCTCTTGTTAGTACAGCTTCTGGGTTATCCAGGAATAGCTTGACTTAGACAGCCAGTGCAGTAGTTGTGGCTGAGGCTGTTGGGCCAGGACTGAAGGTTCAAGCTTCCACTGAGCTATAAAATTCACCAGGAAAAGGGAGGCCAGAGGCACTTTGTGTCAGCCTGACCTACCTCACAGGTAGGTGAGGAAGACAAAGTGAGGAAGACAGTTGTGTACCTTGTCTTAAGCTTATTGGAACAGATGAAGGCATTAATGTAACCAACAAATAACTAATTCCTACGGAGGTCATGTCTGCTGAACCTTCCTATTGATCTCTGTGCCTCATGAAAGCTCTGAATGCAGATGGCATATGTACACATCTAATTAACTGTCAACTCTAGTTCATACCACTAAGTCTGTTTTTACTGTAAGCCGCCTAGAGTGGTCTAATATGATCAGATAGGCGGGATAGAAATAAAATAAATAAATAAATAAATAAATAAACTCTAGTTCATACCACTAGATGATGTAGCTTTACTATCCAGACATTGCACTGAATGTGCAGTGATGAGGGCAGAGTGACCATGTTGATGCTGAAGGCAAATAAATTTGATCTACTTTCTACCTCCTACCTTACAGTGAATGTTTAGTGGAGAAGGTTTGAGAAGCCTCCTTAGATCTGGGACTTCTATGGACTGTGTTTCATGTTTATCTTCAGGAAGCCATTTTTTAGCAGATCAAGGAACCATGTTATCTTTTTGCCTCTGGCCATCTTCTTGTGTGGATCCCCATTTCTATTTCCTCCATGTTAACCCAACATCAGGGTCAGCCCTACTGTTACGCAGGGTGAGGCATTGCCTCTGGAAGCAGATTTAGAGTATCATGAAAGGGAAGCCAGTTATATTTATATAATTAGTTAGACTTGTGTTTTTACAGTTAAGAATGGGAAGAGGCTTGTGTGTTATGCTTTGCCTCAGGGGCCAAAATAATAAGGCTGGCTTTTGGTAGCTTGACTTGTTGGGCAGGAGCATCTTTTGTCTCATCTCAAACAGCAAAATATCTTAGATCAAATCTACTTTTTAATGTTTTCAATGTTTCTGATAGTGCCCCTTGGATGGGCTGAAATTTACAGGTGTCAATTAGTCACAATTGCACTGATGTTGACAGCAGGAATCATTTTCAATTTGACAGTTCTGTTGCTTTAAACTACCAAAAACTATCTTAATGAACAACAGCGCATCGTGAATCAGTTCAGATTCCTGTTTGCTACCCATAGAAAAAGAAAAGAAAAGAAAAAGATGACACAGAATTAAAGTGGTGAGTGGAACATAATTTGCATTCTAAAATATTGTTTCGTTAATGCACTGTGTGGCACAGTGAAATAGATAGCGTTGAAATATTAATGGGATTTTTATATGAAAATTAATTAAACTTGATTTCCCAGGAAGTTATCACACTGTTGCACTTTAGATACCCCTTCCCCCTCCTTGTATATTACATGTAAAAACTGGAGTGCTTTTTAAAAAAAAGCTGCTCTCCAGTTAAACTGTTAATTGCAACAGTGGATTAGGAAGAAGCTTCTGAACTATAGCAATATTTCTTATCCCTGCCTCCCTCTTTGCCCCTTCCACATTTTCATTTGTGGATATTACAAAATTCTTTTAATATAATAATTAAAAAGTGCCTCCAGGGAAGAATAGATTAGGTGATTATTAAATAGGATAAAGAGACTGTCTTCTAACTGAAGGATCCAGAATAGTTATTCTGGCAGCCTTTCATCTAAGCATTGGAAATCATTTTATGGTCTCAGGTACTTGAAACAGGAAAATGTCTTTTACAATCAGGTACTGCAGTGGAGGAGGCCCAGTTAACCAGCTTATTTTTCTGAAGTTGGCAGTTATTTTATGAGGATGCAAAGTCTTGTTTTCACCAACCTCTGTAGCCTGCAGGGATAACTCTTACTTTAGGAACTGACTATATATTCAAATAAGCGGTAACATTTCTTGTGGAAACAGCATGTCCATGTTTTTAAAAATTGGTTTTGTTAGCATACCTGTTGAATGAAGTAAACAACAAGCAAAAAACACCACCTTCTGGAGGCAGTCAGAAATGTATTCCAATCTATACTTCTTGGGAGGAAAATCCATTGAATATAATGTTGCTAAATAATAATAATGGTGATTCTAGGTAGAGAATATACAGAAGTGGTTAACCATTCCTTTCTTCTGAGGGCATGCTGGGACTGTGCACCTTGCCCAAGGCCACTCACGTTGGCTCTTCTCTCAGGAGGCACAGTGGGGAACTGAGCTTCCAACCTCTCCTGTATGGAGAATTAGTGCAGGGAAATTGCCCCAGAGGGAGACCACAGCTGCGATACAAGGACATCTGCAAGAGGGATCTGAAGGCCTTAGGAATGGGCCTCAACAGATGGGAACCCCTGACATTTGAGCATTCAGCCTGGAGGCAGGTGGTACATCACGGCCTCTCCCAATTTGAAGAGACCCTTGTCCAGCAGGCCGAGGCAAAGAGGAAGTCACAAAAACAGCAAAATCAGGGAGCTGGACAGGGGACAGATTGGATTTGTCTTCAGTGTGAAAGGGATTGTTCTTCTCGAATTGGCCTTCTCAGCCACACTAGAAGCTGTTCCAAGTCCTCCATACAGAGCACGTTACCATAATCTTTCGAGACTGATGGATGCCTAACTAATCCAACCAGCTATAATGATGTATGTCTATATAAATAAGCATAGAGATACCTTTAAAATGTGTAGTCCAAATCTGTGCATGCTTGCTTGGAATCAAGTCCCAGTGAGCTCAGTAAGACCTATTCATGAGTAAAGGTAAAATTCTTTCTGTTAGTTACAACGATGAGAATTTCTGTGCTCTTCCTTCCTTCCTTTCTCTTTCTTCCTTCTTTCCTTCCTTCCTGGACATTTGTTGGAGATCAGTTTTTGTGTGTGTGTGTAGAAAGCATATTTTACAGAATACCTATATATTCTGCTGTTGTTGCTGCAGTCACGAAAGCCACTAATCTTTCCACTCAGGTTCGGGCATGTATCTTGAGCACTTGACAGTTGTTTTAAATGGGATGTCTTGATATTTTGACAATGAGAAAACTTTGTGAATATTCTCTACATTCTTACAATAGTTGGAAATAATGTAATGTACATATCTCAAGTAATGAGTTAACAAAGGAGTATGGTTCAAAAGTAAAAAATAGTTGGAACAATGTTACTTCAATGCTGGCAGTGAGTAATATTTCTAGCCATTTCTAATTGTTACATTTAAAGAGAATTTTTCAGCATTTGGTACATTTTGACAAGGATTTTTGAAATTTGATACCATCCTTCTAATTTTCCTAAACCATTTTTTAAAGTAACAAAAATGTTAAGAGTTACACTTTTAAAACATTGCTGTTAGTAACTGTAACAAATTACTTTTCAAACACTTCAGCCAGTGACATAAATGAATTGCTTTCAAATCTCTACTGCCCATTCACTAGCGTTCTCCCTCTAGCACCAATTCATAATGGTGCCCAGAAGGGAAGGCCAAAGCATGTCAAAACTCCCCCTTTCCCTCTTTCGTGCTTGGAAAAGGCAAGTACCACCACCTGTTGCCTTATTACTATTCTCCAGTGTTTATTCCTTCTCAGTAGTCACAACTACTGCACTCCGCTGCTGCATTCCACATGATTAAGTATCTAATTTTTTTGCAATACAGTTTAGAGTTTTGCAGTGGTAGGTCAATGCTGATTTCCATGTCAATCATGCCCTCCTGCGGTTCTTTAAACTGAAACTCTCTTCTCTGTGTTCTTCTTGCAAGTGTCCTGGATCAAGTGGGAATATAGGGAAGATGACCAGAGAAGAGTTCATGGAAAAAATGTCCACAGAGATTAGACAAGGCACTAAGGAAGAGTTCAGAGAATTGTTTGATAAGATAGACTTGGTCCATGAAGGTTTCATTGATTGGGACAAACTGACTTCCTTTATGCTGCTTGAGCTCTATGAGAAGGATGAACGAACCAAGCTATCGGTCCTCCCTCAGTGGAAGGAGATCCAGTTTCTTCCACCAATCCATAAAGATGCTGTTCAAGTGGTCATGTTTTTGAAAACCCACTCCAGCTACTTGACCATGAGCAGAAGTGGATTGCTTGGTCTCTGGGGGCAAAATTTAAAGCTACAGAGGACCCTTCAGATTACCACGGAAACTGTAAAACCAAAACACCTCTGGGTAACTTCTCTGGTTGCACTGCCCAATGTTAACAAGGTGAGTAACTCTCTCAGTGGAAGTGGACTCATGCTTTTGAAATGTCAAGGCAGATAACTTCCCAAAGTGGTTAGCACTCCCATCTGTTTCACCCTATTTTGTCTCCAAGCCAGCACTACTATTGCTTCCTCAACACTCTGTGCACCTCACAGACATTATGACAGTGATCAAGACTGACCTTCTGTGAGGTGGAGGGCATTCTCAGATTCAAGTGGTGGAACACAAGGGGCACTAAATTGTGCCACTCCTCACCTCAGTGAAACACCCTGGTGTCTGCTGAGCAGAAACCCCCACTGGTGCCATTCTTCTTCTGTGCAGTCCCTCAGAGTTCTGTTTTGTCCCCTATTTAACATCTACATGAAACCACTGGTAGTCATTGTCTAGAGTTTTGGGGTTCAATGTCACCAGTATATGGATGAAACCCAGCTCTATCTCTCCTTGTCAGCTAACACAAGGATATCTGCAAGTGGGATCTGAAGGCCTTGGGAATGGATCTCAACAGATGGAAAACCCTGACATCTGAGCGTTCAGCTCAGGCAGGCGTTGCATCACGGCCTCTCCCAATTTGAAAAGACCCTTGTCCGGCAGGCCGTGGCAAAGAGGCAGTCCCGAAAGCAGCAAAATCAGGGAGCTAGATGGGGTACAGATTGTGCTTGTCTTCAGTGTGGAAGCGATTGTCACTCTCGAATTGGCCTCTTCAGCCACACTAGACGCTGTTCCAAGTCCTCCATACACAGCATGTTACCATAGTCTCTCGAGACTGAAGGATGCCTAATCCTATTTCGGCTCTAGAGCAGTAATGGACTGGATGAGGGTGAATAAAGGGAAACTTAATTCAGGTAAACAGAGTTGCTCCTGGTCAACCGAAAGGCAGATCAAGGAATACAGATTGAGCTTGTGCTGGATGGGGTTATTGTTCCTCTGAAAACAAGTGTGTAGTTTGGGGGTGCTCCTGGATTTGTCTCTGAGCCTTGATGCCCAGGTTTCGGCAGCAGCCAGGAGTGCCTTTAGACCATTAAAACCAGTGTGCCGCCTGCTCCCATTCCTTGAGATGTCTGACTTGGCTATGGTGATACATGCCTGGCTTCATCTTGGTTGTCCTTCGGCAAGCAGGTAAAGACCCTCCCCTTCAGGCAGGCTTAGCGACTGGCTGACTGAGAGGAGTTTTTAGACGGATTGTTGTGTCTTAAATGTGTTCTTAGCATTGATTGTTTTTACTGTTTTCAGTATAATATTTGTGTAATTCTTTTTGAAATATCTGTACACGTTCTGCTTTTAGCTTTTAAATATTGTCTTTTAATGATGTGAGCCACTCTGAGTCGTTTTGAACGAGAAAGGTGGGGTAAAAACATTTCAAATCAATCAATTAATAAAATATGACACGAGGAGAGTGGCCCCCTCTGACAGAGATTCCCAGATTAGTAGTCTGCTTGTAATTTCCTCTGAAGGAACAGTAGGTTTCCATGGTCACCTCTTTTATAATTCCTTGGGCGCTCCCCGGAGAGGAAGCCTATCTGATTCTGCAACCTTGTGCAGTGGGAAGCAGTTTGTAGATGAGAAGGGAGTAGAATGATTACGACTGAGAACTTTAGCACTATTGTTAACATTTAAACAGCAAATTAGAAATTAATTCATTGCCTATCATCTTTTGAGTGAAAATTAAAACCAATACTAAAAGTATACTAAAATTAATACTATAGTATCAAAATATTGACATTTATACTGTAGTATAATAGTATTATAATGCTATAGCATGGTGATGATTGATTTGATGATGATTAATACTATAGTATTAATTTGTTGCGTTAATCATTAGGAACATGCATTTATATATATATATTTTCATATCAGTTAAAATAATTTTTTATCAAAAGGCCAAAGATTGCCAGCCTCTTCAACCGCCTCAAATTGCTCTCCCAATGAAGTAAAATAATCTGAAGTATTATTACTGAATCTGTTAATGTTGTCCATATTACAGCCACAAAAATATCAACGTTCAAAAACCTTGTTGAGGAAGAATTGACTAGGTGGTAACAAACGAATATTTACTCAATAATTTACAAGACCAAGTCAAAAACAGTGGCAAAGGGGCTCCAATTATCTTCCCAGTTTGAGAAATGGAGAGCTTTCAGAGAGAGCTGGAAAAAGCTACTTCTTGGAACTACAGTGCACAAGATTCCCCAGCCACAGCATGGTTACTGGCCATGTTGGCTGGGGTCGGTCATGGTGGTGGTCTTAGGAGTTCTAATCTAAAAAAATAGCTTTAAGCGCTGATGAAATCCCTGTACAGTACTATAGGGCAGCTGTGCTGGTAATCATCCAGCAGCCCATCTTCTATGTGAACAGCCATCAAATAACGCTCTTAAATTAAAGAAGTGGAAGGAACTGAACAGCCATACTGTGCACAAGTGTTGACCTGTGCTTTAAGATTTACTTCTTACCTGTCTTACTATGCCAGAGGGTTCTAGAGGTCAATATTTCATTTCATTTATTTATTTAGCACTGAAGGCACTATATATTCTTGCCTGCTTTCCTCTAAAAACTTAGATTCAAGACCATTACAAATCATAAAGCCAATAAACGCATGAAGTCTACCTTGAAAACTAAAACAGAACACAGCACATTGCAATAACATCCTGCCATAGATATCCGTTAAGGATACATCTTCTGCCCCAACAAGGTTGCATTGATTTAATATTTAATTGTTATTATTATTAAGGAAAGGAAAGTAGGAAAGTGGGGTTGCAAAGGTAAATATTAAAAAAGTAATATGTAGATTATATTTCTGGAGGATTTGGGGGGGCTATGGGTGAACAGACAAGTAAACTACTTCTGAGTATTCTACACCAAGAAAACCCTGGAAATAATTGCCACAAATCACAACTAATTTGACAGTATATAATTATTATCAAGGGAGAGAGAGACTCTAGGCAGAGAATGCAGGGTATGTTTTGGACTATGTAAGCTCCAGCTGCCACGGCCAGGCCTTATAGGAATCATCCTATGGGAAAGGATTAACAGAAGGGCAGGCAGGGGATGTTGGAGGAAGAGAGTTTGGCAGTGTACATGCCATGTAGGAGGGCAGCTTTCTCAACCTGGCACATTTCCAATACACCCCATGCCTGTCAGGATAGACACAAAGCTTGGGGTTGATGGAATTATATCTTAACACAAGCTAGAGATCCCCATGGCAGAGAAGACTGACACCATAGAGGCCAGAAAGGTGGTAGGGGATAATGGATGGGCTTTTGAGAGATAAAAAGGACTTTCAGAAGGCTTAGGAGTGAAAAGACAGGATCAGTGCTCCCATCTTCCATATTAATATTCTGTCTCACTCTCCCCATAGATAGCTGTTGCATTTACGAGCAAAGAGATCTATTTTGCTGAACTGAATTCTAAACAAGGATTCTCATATCAGTATAAGCTTCAGGGCTTTGAAGGAACCATCATATGTATGGACTACTGGTACAATCCTCATGATGGAAACAGTGCTATTCTGACGATGGGAGATGTCTGTGGGCAGGCAAGTACATTTTCTTACGTGATCATATCATGATGGAGTTCTTATACATCAACCCAATTGTGTTAGTTCAGTTGTACAAACTAGAGTTGCTTGCAGGACTGGGTGCATAAACGGGTAGGGTGTGAAGCTCCCTGACAAGTAGGAAAATCTGGTTTGTTTCTTACTGTTCTGGATCAGGCATGAGGGTTTAAGGAGTCCTGGATGGAAATTTTGTTGCATATGAAGCACTGCCTTCATTATGGGAAACCCAATCAAGAGTCAATAGAACCATATTCTGTTACTGTCCTTGACAAAAGCATAGTTGTCAGAGGCGGGACTAAACTTTTCAGATGGTTAGCAAAAAGGTAGCCCCATCCTTCTGTAAATTTCAGAAAAATGGGTGCAGTATTTTTGTGTGAAAGAGAATTGCTAGCTGTATGGTTTAAAAGAAAAAAGTGGGACGGGGACATGTTTGACTTGCCTCAGTATACTTTTTGGCAATATTATATGAAAATGGCATATCCCACAAAGGGTTTGGCTGCATGGCTCATTTGGAATGGGCTGGTGTGGACTAAATATGGTCATTTAAGGTGAGGGAAATATCCACTATGTCATGCATCTATATGGCATATACACCTCAAGTGACCCTATTTGTTCTGCCTACCATAAGAAAAGCAAAGGAAAGTTGGGGGGGATCCTCCTTGCTCCCTCCTGTCTCCTCCCACTTCCTCCTACTTCCAGGAGGAAGCTTTCAATTTTTAAACATTTTCCTCCTCCCTCCTACTTCCAGGAGGAAGCCTTCAATTTTAAACGGTTTCTCTAAAAGGTACAGCACATCAACACTGCCCTAACTGGCTTTTTAAAGACAAACTTTGCTTCCTCACTCTATTCCATGGGGAGCAAATGAAGGATGTTTTTAATTTCCCAGTTTCATTAAGTAGGTAATGTGATAGTTTCTGGGTTTGTGTATTTCCTGTCTTGCCACCCAGCCATACTATCCCATTCCCCACAATACTGGGATACTGAAACCAGCTGGGGAATTTTACAGCAGGAAGCTTTGCTTTGGTTTAATCCCAGCAATCACCCATGCTGGAAATGAACCAACATGGAGCAATTCTACCTGCATGCAAAAAAGGAGTAGCCTCTGCCGGAGCCCAAAAAGGTACGGGTAGGAACACTATGGGGACAGACTGGTTCACTCTAGCAATTACGTCATCTGATTGCCAGCAAATGGAGCAAAACCCCTCCCCTCCCTCTAGCAGACTAAACAGCGGGCTAAAGGCCAGTGTAATCAGCTCCAAAATGTGTGTCACCAGGTCCGAATCCTGAAGAATGTCAAATGCGTGCAGGTATCAGTGAGTAATGAGATATGAGAAACCTTTCTCAGACTTGTTTTTGTTTTCTGCTCCTTTGACATAAGTCACTGAAAAGGCTGTGGATGAGGAACATACGGTGGCAAAGAGAGAAGGACTTGGACATCTCACATTTTTGAACCAATGCCCATTTCCTACACCTCCCCAGGTTCCAAGGACTCCACAGAAGCTCTCTTAAGTTTTCTGCCCTAAGAGCAGAGATTTGCCAAATTACTATATTCTTAAAACAGTTTTGCACTATATTATTTCAACATCTCTCCCACAAAGTGCTGTGATTAGAGTTCTGGTAAAACCATTTACTGTGATTTGAACATTCAGAAAACTATATTATCTCGTCCTTCCCACCCCTGCCTATCCTAGCATATTCCTTTTGTGGAAAAATCCTATCCTAGCATATTCCTTTTGTGGAAAACTTATACCATATTTTTCTGTGTATCAGATGATCCCATGTATAAGATGCCCCCCCACTTTTCTAACCCCAAATTAAGAAATCAATATTTTACACATAAAACAGAATATATTTTTATTTAGTAATTAGGTAACATTTACATACCAGTACTATCATATTATGCATCACACTTAGCTTTGAGCATATTACTTAATTCTGGGTTTAGAATGCTTGGACATTACCAGTCCCTATTGCATCTGAGCATGCTCCAGCTCCAACGAGATGTGTTCCAATTGGTTTGTTCAGCATCAGCTGATGTCACTTACATAAGGCGTGTGATTGGAGGAAGCTAAGCCTCATGACAGAAGGAAGTCTGTTTGCAGAGGCAAGGTAAGGACAGTTTTACAACTGCACCGTTATCTTCACTTACTTCTGTGTACAAGACAACCCTCAATTTTTAGTCTAAAGATTCTAGACAAAAGTATCATCGTATACATGGAAAAATACAGTATTTTTTTGGTCAGTGTCTCTGAGTCCTTCCAACTCAGTATGTTTTTTTTTTTAAAAAGTTTTCAAAGCATAAATATTCAGATTTGGAAAGCCGTGTTTTTATGCTAATGCCACCCTTTCTTTGTTTAATTCAGTAGTTCCCGACATTTGTAACATCAGATCCCTTTTACATTTTTGACAACCCCCCCATACTTTTACTATAATCACACCCCCTTTTTGGGGGGAAAATCAACTCATAATTTAAACGTTAGGCACAAAAACTCTGTTAAACATGTTTTACATTTTTAAAAGAGCAGAAAGTTTCACTTACCACAAAAATTAATAAAAAGATAATGTACCTTAAGCACTATAGAAACATATATATGTGCACCCCTGTTGAGGGACATGAACAAAATCCAAAGGGCTTACAATTCTCTGTGATTTAATTTTGTTGATGTCCCTCAACAGGGGTGACCTACATGTTAGATAAAACTCTGATTTGAAACCATATTTCTGATCAAATAAGGATCAAACCATATGATCAAAACCTAAGGCAACGGTATGTCGGTCAGTAGTATTGGAGCCTTATGCGTCTGGGCAGAAAAATGGTGGTCATTTTCTGAGACCAGGTGTAGTGTCTCAGAGTTAATTCATCTCAATTATTTCTCATTCCTCATATCTAAGCTCTTGAGCCTATGCAAAATTTCATTTAAACTGCCCAAGGCTTTGCTCCTTTCCTTTTGCCTTGTGTCATTACCAAGCTATACATATATAACTCATTTCCATTGTCCTCTTCTAAGCAAATCTCTGCAGTCTCATTAACAAAAAAATAGCCTTAGCTGCTGGCCATGAAATTTAACCGCCTGCAAGTCATGAATTTATAACAAAGGGAAAAGCTTTATGTGATAGTCGGGTTATCAGCTTCAGTAATGGGTTGCTTTGAAAATCTGGGAACAGCTGAACAATTTATTTTCCCCCACACAAAAAAATATTTCTGTCCTACCTAGGTGCTGGCAATTGCCTTCCACACAGCCCAGATCTCATTGTTTGAACGACCTTCCTGTTCCCCTGAGGATGAAAATGCGATGATGACTATTAATTGGCAGGAGCTGCTTTCTGGGCATCACAAGTCCTGCTACACATTATGCCACAGGCTCCATGGTAAAGAATGGGTGAGGCAAGGTAAAGATGATGGGAAAGGATACAAGAAGTCTTGTGTGTAACTTTTGAGGTAAACTGTGGTGATAGACGACATATTAAAATGGTGGGCCTTGCTCTTTGTCCGCAATCTTGTATAGACCTTTCTGTGGGTAAGCCCAGTCAGAGCTGGCTCCATCATTAGACCAAGTGAAGAAACTGCCGTCCTCAGCTCTTGTTCATGTCCCTCAACAGGGGTGCGCCCCTCCTCACTTTGGGAACGGGAGAAGCCCAGTCAGAGCTGGCTCCATCATTAGGCCAAGTGAAGAAACTGCCCTCCTCAGCTCTTGTAAAGTGTGACTTCCTTTAGGGAGTTAGTCCATTTCGTATTTGGTCTTCCTCTTTTCCTGCTGTCTTCCATCTTTCCCAGCATTATTGTCTTTTCCAGAGAATCCTGCACTCTCACGATGTGCCCAAAGTAGGATAACCTCAACTGCTGGATAAATCAATGGTTTAGACATTTGGCTGTGGAGCCAGAGGTTGGGAGACTGATTACCCATTATGCCTCCTAAACAGGGGCTGGACTCAGTGAGTAGTAGGGTCCCTCCCAACTCTACTATTATTATTATTATTCCGCATTTATGCTTCCAGAAATAGTTCAGGCTTGATTTGATCTAGGACCCACTTGTTCATCTGTCTGGCAGTCCAGAGTATCCAAAACAACAACAACAAACTCTCCTCCAGCAGCACATTGCAAATGAATAAATTTTTCCCTGTCATCTTTCTTTCCTGTCCAGCTTTCATGCCCATACACGATGATTAGGAATACAAGAGTGAATATGATCTTGGCCCTGGTTTCTAGTGACACATCCTTGCACTTGATGATCTTCTACAATTGCTTCATTTTTGCCCTTCCAAGTTTCTGTCTTTTTCTGATTTCTTAGCTGCAGTCTCCATTTGGGCTGATGACTGAACCAAGGTGTACAAAATCTCTGTTTCAGTTTCTCTGTTGTGTGGTTCTTCTCAAATCATTATTTTTATCTTCTGTAGATTCAACTGCAGTCCTGCTTTCGCTCTTTCTTCTTTCACTTTAGCTAAACTCCTGCTTTGGCTCTTTCTTCTTTCACTTTAGCTAAAAGTTGTTTCAAGTCATCACTGCTTTCTTCCAGTAAGATGTGTCATCCGCAGATGGTAGGTGACAGCAAATGCTGTTCTTTCTAAGTACCCGGCTGCTTCTGTTGTTGGACGAGGGCTGTACAAACCACATGACTTCTCCTGAAAAGGTTATCCAGCTGGTAGCCATGTTAGTCTATTGTGGCACAAGAGAAACCAGAAATCTTGTAGCATCTTTAAGGCTCACTAGTTATTGTTTTTCATAGGTTTTCATGCTTGGATACACTGGACATACCAAAGCTCATGAAAAACAATAGCTAATTAGTCTTAAAGGTGTGACAAGACATCTCCTGGGCACACTAAATTAGCCTGCAGCTTCAGGTGTGGTAGAAGCCATTAATCTATCATGAGTGTTCCTGTAAGAGTCCTCTTGGCTTCTGTACAGAGAATGAAGAAAAGGTACAATCTTCACACCACAATGTAAAGCTAGCTTTGACCTAGCTTGCACTGCTTTGAGACAGATTGACTAGAATAAGAGGTACTGCAGTCTAAAGTACCCAGTGTAGTGTACTGGACAGAGTGATGAATGCTGGAGATCTGGATTCAAATCCCTGCTTGGCCATAGAAACTCACTGTATGTGCAAGTGTGACACCAGTAAAATCACGCCTTGAATACCTCACGTATATTGAGAGCCCTTTTAGGGTTGCTACTTGCTACACTTCTGTATAAGCATACAATTGCACATGTTAATCCTACATCCTATTAATCCTACATCCTGGATTTCTTGGTCACAGTGGTTGCTCCTCTCATGCCCTTCCCCCCATGCTCTCTTTCTTCATTTGGGTTGAAATACACACACTGGTTGCATGGACATGAACTCTCAAATGCCAGGGTCTCTGATCATGCAGTGAGGCTGCATGTGTAGAACACTCTACCCACGTTCTATTCTGAGTACAAATGTATTGTCCTTGTTAGTCCCATTCTCCAGGTTAACCTCATTTTGAGTAACTAAAGCAGGCTGCAGTTTTCTTTTTTCAGCCACATCAGTGGCTCCTTTAGTGTCGTGTACTGCATTACTCCTCAGAGAAACTGAATCCTCTTTGTCAAGCTGTGCATTCTGTGGTACTATGCTTTGTTTTGTTTCGTTTTGTTAAATGGGGGAGGGAGGTCAATTGGGGAGTGTTTTTTAAAAAAATGTTCTATGTGATTTTTCATTGCAATGGCCAACATGGAGAGCACTTCTGGGAACCATTCAAAATACTTCACCCTAATCCCTGAACCGCCCTCCATTTCCAGGGGCTAAAATCTCTCCACCTTACATGCTTGGATCTGTACAAGAGGCTACGGTGTCTAGACAAGCTTCAAACAAATTATTTCAGAAACCAATGGTTTGCTATTATGCCCTATAACCAGAGACAAAGTCTGACCTCTTCCTTTTGGAAATTTTATAGCCTGTTTAATACCAAAAACCCTTTAAAGTTTTAAATCAAAGCTGAAAGATTAGAGTTGTTCCAAAATCTAAGCCCATAATGCTTCTTCTGAAGTGGTTCTTTAATTTTAAAAACAATAAACCACTTTGCTCTATTGATATAAACCTAAGTATTCAGGGCTGAATAATTAATAGAGTTCCTTGTCCACGGGGAGGCATGTTTCCCTTTTCTCTTGGAAGAGAGTTCTGATTAATGCAAAATTCCCCCCAAAGAAAATATCTTTGATATAAAGCGAAAAGCTATGTTTTGAAGCTGTAGCCTTAAAAGTAAGGAAATTCAGACCATGGATCGCTCGGAACAAGGGCACATTGATGTACCCTTTCCGCCACATAGAGCCGTTTTGGGTGTGGGGTGGATTGGGCTACAAAGGGTCTGTTGAGGTACAGGGCGGGGGGAGAAGGGGTATGCCTCTTGGAACGCTCCTCCCATTTCAACAGCAATTGACCCCTTATAGCTCAATCAATTATCAATTACATGCTTTCCCTGATCCTCTGTGGAGGGACAGGGAAAGTGGGTTCTGTTCTTCCATGCTTTACTTGGTTTACTAATGAGTAAGGAGACAACAACAATAGCAGCTGGGGACAACTGAAGAGCAAGGGGAGAACATTGGGGTGAAAGTTGGGGAGATAGGGAGAACATTGGGGTGAAGGTTGGGGAGATAGAAGGGAAGTAACTCCCCTTCCCACTAGCTTTCTCCTCAGTTAGGGCAGTCCTGCCTTGTGGGAGCATAGCCCAAGGCTACATAGCCCCCCTTTTTCTGCCACCACTAAGTTGATCTCCGGAGCTGAGGTGGTGGAGATGACATCAACCTTTGGGGCACTGAGCAGCCACCATGTCATGATCAGTCTGGTGTCAGCCTCTTAGGCTGCTCTTCCCTGCCTGCCCTCTGAGCCTGCCAGGCTCTGAATCATGCTCAAAAGAATGCATGCCCTAGGCAAGCGTAAGAAAGGTGCGGGCAACTCTTAAAAGTGAAGGATGGATTGTATTTTTTTTGTTTCAAAAATGGTGGATTGATGTTTCTTGTTGAGTTTCCCATCCTCACGCTTCTGTGATCTTCTTATAAGGCAAGGATGCCCATCTGACAGTCGGCCATATCCAGCATTTGAAATATTTTTGCCTTAGTACCTGCAGATCCTACAATTTGCTAACTTGTTTAATTGTGTTTTATTCCTTTTTCTTTTTTTTCCTTTCCTTTTTTGCCAAGTTATAAGAAAGCAAGTTGGCAATATAGATTTCCACTCTAGCCACTAACTCAACGGTTTCTAAGGTTTGTAGAGTGGTTATTCCAAAGGCAAGCATGTTGTGATTTTTTAAAAAAAAAATGTAATAGCCCAACATAAATGACACAAAAAGTTAATCATTTCTTTCATTAGAGCGAAGACATATAATCTTCAGTATTTTGATCTTGAGTGTGTTGTCAAATGTATTTCTTTAAAAATCACCCAAGTAGAAAATGGGATGGAAAGTGTTACCTGTTTATAGGCTGCTAAGTAAGAATAACAACTGTGGAGGTGTGGTTGATATACAGAAAACAACATATTGAAAGCAAATAAGGATTCAAATAGTACAGCGTGGGCAGATTCTAGATACATAGGAATGACAGTGGTGAAAGAAAGATTCTAGAAGTATGTGAACCATGAAGGAAGGTAAAGTCATTTTTTGAAAACAGTTTTTTTTAGAAGGAACAACTTACGATAGTCTTTCAGTCTAAGAAAAAAATGATAAATGTGATTAGGTTGTTGACCTTTTAGAAGTTGATGCTCTTATACCTTTAAGTGTGGCAAAATCTGCAGACATTTTGTGATGGCAGTGCTATGGAAAGTATTTTTTTAAAAAAAAAATTCTTAAAGGCACAAGAACAAACCAAATGGGCTTTTTCTCATCCTTTGGAATTTATACGTGACAGAGAGTTGGTGAAAGTGAGATTTCTAGCAAAGCTTCTTTAACAGATGGATGAGAATTAAAACATGGAGAGGTGACACTTTTCGTTAGCACCATGCGTGTTTGCAGGGAACAGTTTTAACAGTTGACTTTCCATCTATGCAGGTGTAAATGATACGGGTTTGGTAAACATAAACAATCATAAACAGTAATTTTGAAACAGATTTGATTAAAAAGCCATTTTGAGGGAAGAGCACAGTGAAACAGAAGGCAAGAGGGATGCTGTGCATTTGTATTTTTGCCTCTGTTTCTTCATTCCAGGTCACCTGCTCTGAACAATTTTTCTTGAGTAACAGAACTCACTGAATTTTTTTTTAATGTGTGGGGAATTTAAGACTATAAAAGTTCCAGTCACTATACAAGTTCCAATCACTATACAGCCACTCCACATATGCATTGAAACTACCGTGTTTCCCCGAAAATAAGACAGGGTCTTATATTAATTTTTGCTACAAACATGCATTAGGGCTTATTTTCAGGGTATGTTTTATTTTTTTCAT